ATAACAATGAAAATAAGTAAGTAAGTAAGTAAGTAAGTAAGTAAGTAAGTAAGTAAGTAAGTAAGTAAGTAAGTAAGTAAATAAATAAATAAATAAATAAATAAATAAATAAATAAATGCAATGATTTTTTTAAAAAAATCAACTTAAAACTAGGGCTGCAATTTCTAGATTCATAATATAACTGAGTTAGAAAGGGCCTGAAGGCCATCGAGTCCAACCTCCTGCTCAATGCATAAATCCAAATCAAAGCAGATTTGACAGATGTTTGTCCAGTTTTCTCTGGAATGCCTCCATAACTCATAAATTAAGTTGATTTAAACATGTTTCAACAGATTAAATCAGCAAAACCTCTATGTGCATAGAGATGGGCATAGTGAGGCCCCCTAAACATTCAACACACTTAGTAAGGAAGAATATAGGGAACATTTGAAGGACTACACTTTGGCCACCCTTGTTCAGACATAAACTCAACCAAACTAAACATATGCTGTCTTGCAAGATACATACATCTGAAAGCTAGCTCTTAAACATCTCATATATAGCTAATATTCTACGTAACATGCTTATGTATAAAAAGAACACTTCAACAGAATTCAGATCCCTTTAAACTCTGCATTTTTATTACAATCTGCCCACTCCTCCAGGAAACAAACATTGAACTTTATGAGGTTTCTTTCACGGAAAAAAAGTGATCAAGAGGAGGTGCTATGTTATATCAATGCCAAAAGAGAAAAGCTTGTTTAAAACAAAATAATGGCATCTAAAATGAGGGAGGAAAAGCAGGGTGGGGAGTACAAGTATATTAGAAAAAGATACAAGTTAAAAAATCTTATTTCTGCTACTCTTTTTTAAAACAATTTTCACAGCCAAAGGATGAATTTAATACAAAAATGCATTTACAATGTCACCTTCCAGAATAAAACCCACTTTATAAAGACAATTCATCATCATTATTTTTTAAAGTTATGATCATTCTGACAGCATTTGTTGAGAGAGGAAATAGTTTCAATTTTCACTGGTTTCAATTTTCACTGTTTTCATGAAAAAGAAGTAACACGTTTTAATATGTGGCATTTCACCTAAGATGCCAACTGGGAAGTCTTCACATTAAGTGAAGAACTGTATACTTTGCAACATTGCTATGTGATAGATATATGTTTCAGAAAAGAACTGCAGGTTTAACATCTGACACACACAAAAAAGAACCACATGCATTAAGAATTTGTATAGTAGAGACCAGGCATTTCCATGTGTAGAAATCAGTATTAAAACAACCACATTCATTTGGATGAAATTTAGAATCTAGTCTAAACTAGATTAAGCTGTTATTATAAATGGCTCCATAAATTTATCGGGCCAAGAAAATGGGACAGATTTATGGACAAGCTGAACACAATATGGACGAAAAGTTAAAGTTTGAGTTCTGGGCCTTACAACTCAATTTCCCCCTTTATTGTGTATTTTGTTATCCAAGCATCTACAACAGCACTCAGGTAAAACTACTACAGTGATCATCATGTTTGCAGAAAACAGTCACATCCCTTGGTCTGAGAGGCAGACACAGACTCATTCTTCCTGAAAGGAACTGTTGTATATTTATTCTGGTTGTGAGATCCTGAAGCCAGAGGATCTGGAAGGCACAAGGTAAGAATCCTCAGTGTGCCCAAAATCTATGACCGGAAAGTCAAATTATAGCACAGAATGAACACTAAAACACATAATCTCAACTGCAAAACTGCTACAGTGTTCTTGTATTAAGTAAAATGTATTGTTATGGTCCTATGATACTCCTGTCCTATCTAAAACATAATATCAAGTGACATATTTATGTGATAAATTCTGAGGTAACTTGAAGAGCTTTCTAAAAACCTGACCACCACAGGGCACAATTATGTTAGATGCTTACATCTGCAGTCTTGGGTATTGGGATTCTATGGAGATTAGTGTCAGGGGCAAGAAATCACAATCTTTTAACATTTTCTTTTCAGATTTTATTTGAAATCTAATTTGAGTTGTCAAAGCTACAAAAATGGGAATGAGGGAAACAACTGTGATTTTCCCCCCTCAACTCACAACATTCTAAAACAAAATTATCACTACTGCCAGCAGATCAGTTACACACATTTCAGATGACGCTTCTAAACACAAAATCTCATCTTGGGAAGTAGCCACAATGAAGGTATTTTGTACAATATAAAACAATGACAGGTCTACCAATGCAGTTACTTATGAGTATACACGTGCATTCACAAAAAAAAATTAGGAATGCTTTTTTTGTTTTGTTTTTTAAAACAGACTGTTCAGGCACAAAAACAAAACTGCATCTCCAGTTAAGTGACAGCATCATAAAAATTAAAGAGTTTGTCAGTGTTTGCTTTTCTTTGACTTCTTGTGGGATCTGTGTGGAGAACGGGATTGAGATCTGGATTTTTTCCCTGACTTTTTAGGTGACCTGGACCTTGATCTTCTTGATCTTTTGGGTGTCCTTGAGCCAGATGGTGACCTAAAAATAAATTGTCTCATGTCAATTGATTGTTCATGTGACATCTTCTCCTAACACTGAGTTCATTCTTACTGTTTTCAACAGGAGATAAGGGTTAATACCAAGCCAAGCACTATGTAATATATTACAAACTACATAACAAGTACTTTACAGAAATGTCAATTAAGCATATTAACAGAAAGTGATAGTAAGATGCAAACTATAATCCTGGAACAGAGGAATCAAATAAGTCTTTGGATACAGATACTTTGGATATCCACATTAATTTACTGTTTCAATACCATCAGCAATGGCCAGAATCCTACTGCTATTCACATATGGTTTGCTTAAGTAGAGTAGACTATGTCTAGATGGGCGGCATATAAATGCAATCAATCAATCAATCAATCAATCAATCAATCAATCAATCAATCAATCAATAAAAAATTACACATTAATTCTGGATAACTGATCAAGTACTAGGGCATATTTCAGTTACACCTCTGGTCACACACTTAACTCCACAACTGAGATGCATCCCAGTATCTCAAATAACTGCAATTTAGCCATGGCCAGGTTATGCAACCAGCTTATACAGAAATGCCAACAGAATTCTTGTAAATTTGAGGTTAAAATCACATTTAGAACTCTTACGTGTCACACAAACTGCAATTCTATACACACTTACATGAGAGTAAGTTTTCAATTTAAACCAGAGCTAAAATGTAAAGGACTGCACAGTAAACTAAACAATCCCACAATGAAATAAAAATTTTAATGAGCTATTACAAATGTAAATGTAACAAGCTTCTACATAACAAAATGATTTTACGGAACAGATCTGCTCTACCTTTTGGCTTTTTTGCTGGCATCTCTGGGAGAATCTTTGTGAGAAGACCTAGAACGTGAGCTTTCTTTGTGGGATCTTTCAGATCGCTCTGAGCGTTCTGATTTCGGTGATGGTGATTTAGCTCGCCGACTTCCGCTGCTGCGCGATGGACTGGGTGATGTGCTGTGTCGCCTTTTCCTTTTGTAAAGAACAAAACGTATCATTATTTACACAAATAAGTGTTACCTCACTGTATCAGCAGTGTTCCCTACCCATTTAGCAGTTTACAAACATTAAATCCATATTGACAATCCCTTTATGCCTCTGTTCCCAGCAGCAACTTTTACAAAGCACTAACGCCAATAAGAGGCCCAGTCAAAACATCATCTTTAAATACAGTTTAGACATAGTTAACATTAACTGCTTCTCTCTTCGACAAAAGATACGCTGTATGTATCTCAAGTGATAATAACAGAACTGAAAGTATCAGTAACAATAAACATTTAAATAACTGCATCAACTAGATGATCAATTCTGCTGAAAAACGCTAAAATACTTTAGAAGTTGTTATGGTAAACAATAACTTGCAAAAACAGTAATGTACTATTTTTTTCCACAAAAAACATATTTATTATTCCACCAAAAAAAAAATGCTTGCAAGTATTACACTACAAAAGCTGAGATTCTATAACCATAATACCTAAGCTAATGTGATAAAAAATATTTTAAAAAATAAAATATAGGTAACTCTTGGAGCAACAACTATGAAAGTTGCACTGATTATGCTTATACTGATTATATGGGCTGAAATCCTGTTGCATATCATAGTAAGGCCCTCTGAATCACTAGGGATTCAGTGAATATCTCTGTAGGTTCTCCTGATTCAAATGGGTCTACTCTAACTGCAGCTTACTTTAGCATAACAACGCACAACTAAAGCAGGTCTGTCTGAATCAATGGAGAGTACAAAAGAATTGACTCAGTAATTTCTCCAATGATTCAATGGACCTACTCTAGTACAACTTACCACAGTAAGCAACAGAATCCCACCCATTGTATATTAGTGTGCATAGTGCTCTGCAAAATATAACAGGAAAGGTCTCACCCTAAAGGCACTTAACATCTGAAACCAGTCAGGTATAGGTGAGTTGATGGGAGAGACATGAAAGTAGTGAAGTTAATTATGTCCAATTGTGTCAGTTATATGAGCACAGGTTTGTTACAGGCTTGGTTGAAAAACATCTCATCTTCTCAAATTCTGTACCTTTCTTTCCTTGTTGGTGTACATTCCTCTTTTTCTTTCTTCTCTTTGGATCTAGAGTCGGATTTTTCTTTGTCCTTCTTGTCCCTCTCCCTTTCTCTCTCAATTTCTTTTTCCTTCTCCTAGATTAAAAAATGGGCATTTTAGATACTTTATGATTTATCATAAAGCAAAAGGAAAACTATTCATGTGAATCCATGTTTATATATTTCAAAAGCAAGAGTCATTTCAAGCCATAAAATGGATACAAGAAAAAGATAGCTGTTATATAGAAAATGAGACTAGCCCTCCAAGTCCAAAGTGCTTTCTCCATCAGCTGACAGTTGAATGTAGCAAGGATAGATTGCTGTCTGAATCCCTCGAGAGTCACTGTCAGTCAGTATACATAACATGGAATAGACAGACCACTCGTTTATTATCAGGCAACTTATGTTGCAGTACCTTATTCTGTTAAATTTCTTGTTCTACCAGTCTGAAAGCATCTGCTTCATGTTTTATATAAATAAAATTATTCATTGCATCTTAACTCCTTGAAGCTGAACTAAGAGGAGTGGAAAGATGTGAGGGTCTGGGGCTTAAAATGTTGCTCATGCAAGTTACATTAAACCACAATTTGGTATTACATCTGAAGCAGGATTCCACATCATTAACAGTATAATACAATCTGCAATTTTCAAGTGCATGATAAAATCCTCGAAAAGCAGCACTGCTTACTCTCTGGAGCAGTTTGTCACGATAGTGTTCTACTTGCTCCTGAAGACTCTGGCCTTGCTTCTTAGGTCTTTTTCCAGATTCTAGTTCATCTTGAAATTTCATGACCTTCAGCTGCAAAAATATAAATGCAAATAACATTAAGTTTAAAAATGCTTACCTGAAGGTCTGTAAAATGTATAATAGACACATGGTCTGCAATAGGGTTTTTTTTGTTTCGACCAAAGGCAGATGTATTTTTTGCATTTTTCCATTATCTGCTATATTAATCTAGACCTTTATCTGCTATATTAATCTAGACCTTAATCTTTATGCATGAAAATCTTAACCCACTCCTCAACTTGAAGTGGCTTACAATATTTCTCTGAATTTTTTCCCTTCTGTCAGGTGTGAGAAACAGATCTTTTAAGGATAAATATTCTGCCCAGTTTGTATACAAAGCACAGCTTGCTAGCCAAATGATATATTTCTTGGACGTCTGCAAAAAGTAGGAGCTATAGGCAATAGAAGCTAAAAGCACTGAGCTCAAATTAACAGCAATAAATTTTGAACAATGATTCCATTACATCCCAACTACATTATACTCAGTGTCCAACATTATATTTAACGGCTGAAATCCTGTTGAGTGGCTATGTAAAGGCACAGCTTTTGGAAGCAAACTGCTATAAATTAAGACATCTCCGTAGACATTATCTGCTGCATACCAAGTCACACAACTTAGGTTGCAACAGATGGTTATGGAGGTTCCTTAAATTAACAGCAATTTGTGTCTAAAAATTACATACAACAGGATTCCACCAATGTATTATACATTAAATGCCATATTTGAAGGAGTCGTTAAAACAATCCATGATGATACTCAAGCTAATCTCCTGAAACAAGGAATAAATCACTGTATCACTTTTTTGCTAGTTATAATCCCAAATGATTATAACTAAAGTGTATTTCTATCCTACTGTTCTTCCTGTGCACTTAATGGTTGCTCTTTATTCTACCAATGGTCTGAATCCTAGAACAGTAAAAATGAAAAAAGCTTTTAAATTTGTATTTAAATCAGAAAAGGAACACAGAACTGTTAATACAGTGTTAAAACTCAATTCACAGCTACATAGTGCTAATTAACTAACAGGAACAAATCTTAGCTATGATGAATATATAACATTAAACTGAAATCACGTGAAAAATTGGCAGGTTAATCTATACTTCTGGACTCTAGAAAACCTATAACCATATATAAAATTGCTATTTCTGCCTATGTCGCTTTCTCAGACACATGCAACATTACCTCAATCTCTCTGAGTTTGGCACGCTTTTCCTCACTCATTTCTGAGTACTTGCTTGAAGATTTAGAATCAGACATTTCTTCTCTGATAGGATTGGAGTACATATGATGCTCTTCTGATTTAGAACTCTGAGTGTCTTCCTCATCTTCACTTTCTTCTTCTTGGCTTTAAAATAAAAGTAGCATAGGGGTTCAGTTGATTCACTTTCCACCAAAAGAGTTGCAATGTATCCAGTTTCACAATAAAGCAACAGTAAGCATGTAGGGATGTGGTGGTGTTGCAGGTTAAACTGCAAAGCCTCTGGGCTGCAAGGTTGAAAGATCAGCAATTCAAATCCATACGACAGAGTGAGCTCCTGTCGCTTGTCCCAGCTCCTGCCAACCCAGCAGTTTGAAAGCATGTAAAAATGTGAGTAAGTAGATACCACCATGGTGGGAAGGTAACAGCGTTCCGTGTCTTGTCGCAATGGCCACGTGACCACGGAAACTGTCTATGGAGAAACACTGGCTCTATGGCTTAGAAACGGGGATGACCACCGCACCCTAGTCAGACACGGCTGGACATTTGTCACATTTACGTTTAAGCATGTTTTTAGCTCTCTTGGTTTTACACAATGGCAGGTCATAAGTAAGGACCACATGCGCACTTGTATATTTTCCCCTCCACATCTCTGCACCCAGGGATGGAGGGAATAAACTCCCAACTATGTTTCTGAATTGCAGGAGTGAGACTGCTCTGCATCTGTGTTTCTATATGTGGCTGATGTCTATTGGAGTAAGTAACTTTAGCTCAACAGAAATCACTTGCTGGGTGAGTTAAAGCTTCTGCTGGCATGACACTATCCCAGCCATCCCAGTCAGCATTCTTGACCTGGCAGTGCTCACAGAAGTCCTGGAGTACTCATCTTTTCCCTGATACCCAGCTACCAAACTTTGCTGATGTTTTTAGGAATGCTACCCAATCTCTTGGCTACTCTGGCACCCAAATCTTTCATATGTGGAAATCATACCCATTCATAATGGGAAAACATTTCAGAATTCCTTCGTGGCAAATTCTACTCATACATACGCTGCTTCTCAGTCACATACATTGGAGCAGCCACTGAAGTCAATGGAGTCAGTTTTTCACATGATACAAAAAACTGTAACAGAGGCTGTGATACTGTGTTTGTCCATGTACAAATACTGATATTATAACTTGCACATCTTTTCACTGGAAGACACATGTTGGTCATGCTCTTACACAACATTCTAGATGCATAGAAATTGCACAATTCTACGTCATTGGTGAAACCAACCTTATTCTTATATAATATGTACAATAACACTGCCTGGGGGGAAGAGAAGAGAACACCCAGAACCCAACTCTTACTTCTGATTTTCTTCCTCTTCTGATTCTTCATGCTGGTCAAACAGTTCCCATTTAGATGTTGTTACCGCTAGAAAGAAAATTTGCAATTACATTTTTAAAACTCTGTCTCACATCACTAAATAAAATCTCTAAATGGGCAATTTGTAGCTGCAAAGGACAATTCAGATAGTTTCTCTTTATTTAATCTTACCATTTCAAAACAAGAGCATTCCAAATAAAGAAAATACTGAATGTCTCCTAGATTTTTTAAAAAGGAATGATCCTCAAGGGATAACATATACCAGTGGTGAGACACATATGTTACACTAACACAATATTAAAAATCCCACACCTCAGTCCCATGCCTTCCTACAACTGTAAAGTGCAACCTTGTACTGAATCCATCTGCCACAGAGCACATTTTACCTCTTCAGGCACTAGTATGTTACTGTTACCATAGGAGTAAAATATTTTCTCAGCACATCACTACAATTTTCAACAGCTAAACGAATTATCTTTGTTTGTGTCTATTTCCATCAATGCTAGAACAATTTTTAATTTCTGTAAGAATTACCATAAATGACAAACAGCAATACAGTAACAATAAACCTACAAATGTCCTTCTTGGGAAAAGGGGAGGGTTCGTTCATGTCATAATGGGACAAGGTTCTTTTTGGAATGATTGGTTGATGTAAGCTGCAAAAGCTTGAAAACCACTGTTTCCAAGCACTATTTCATTGATACACAGAATGCAAGACTAACCTAAAACAATGAACTGAAATGTCAGTACAAAAGATAAATACAACACTAACCTTGAGCTTCAAGAGCAGACTCATCCACTGCTTCCCACTTTGAAGGGGCAACTTTGAAAATCGGCTCATTCTTTTTTGATTCTTCAGTAGAATCCACTATTGAACAGAAGGAATTAAAAGATTCTGTTAAGGACATTTGGGGACACTATTTTAAAATAAGAAACCCGTAGCTCAGTTATTTAGGAATAACGGTATGTGCAGAGAAATCCTACACAAGCAATCCAAAAGAAGATCAATGAATTTTACAATTGCAATCTTAAAACGTTCAGAATTGATACATGGTAGAGTTCCTTCAAGGGTCATGTCATTTCAGAATGTAGCTTGGGGATTCACTCTACATAAAAAATTTTAAATTTGCACATCAGGTGGACAGTTAACTCTTTATCATTTGACCTTCTGAACATACTCATCCAACCTAAATTCCAGAATTAGGACCCAAATGACATTGCAACCTGATCCAAAGCTTAGTGCACAAAAGCCGTTCTATCAGAAGTTTTAGCATTTTGTACAGAATCAGTTTTAGAATGCAATGTTATCATGAAAGAAGACTGGGAACTAACAATTAACAATCTAATAAAAATGTAAGTCCTCCATCTACAACAGTAGTTCTTAACCTTTGTTACTCGGATGCTTTTGAACTGCAGCTCCCAGAAACCCCAGCCAGCACAGTTGGTGGTGAAGGCTTCTAGGAGTTGCAGTCCAAAACTCCTGAGTAACCCAAGGTTAAGAACCAGTGATCTACAACACCGGACACAAATGGAAAAGTAACAAGCAACACACCCCACTTCTTCCTTTACCTTAGACAAGCCACATTTCTAATTAAAATCTCTACAATTTTGCATTTCTTCATAGGCTATCACCAAACATAGTGCTGCTACTCTTAACACTAAATGACAACTGCACTTCTACTTGAAGACTACCACGTACAAACTAAATTTACATATTTCTTACAAGGTACACCATCAAGGTCATCATCAAGTGACTTAATAGGAACTCCATCAAGATCATCAATTGGAGCAACATCAATAGGAATTCCATCCACATCTTCTAGAGGAGCACCATCAAGCTCTTCCTCAATGATAGGAGCTCCATCAAGATCATCAGGTACTTCCTGTAAACAAACCATATGCATTGAGAGTTCTTTATACATCTACTGCTGCCTTCCAATTCAGTTTCCTTTCATATGAGCCTGCTCAGTATATGTATTACTCAAAAATGTTTCCAAATAGCTAGCACATGTGTCTACTGATTTGGACTAATTTATAAATCAAGAAATTCCTCATAGGTAGAAGGGAAGCAGGCTTTTTCATCAACACCCCTATGTACAATATGACATAGGCATCTGCACAATATGCCTGATTTTTAGAGCAATATCAAGAAAGGAATGGATGTTACAGGTATCTTGTGTATATAACTGCAGTGTATGTCACCGTAACAGAAATGTTGCATATGTAGGGCTGGATGAGCATTCTTGTTAGGTTTCATAAACAAACAAACAAACAAAAAATCAGTACGCAAAGAAGTTTGGCATTCAGGCACGATTTGAAGACATCAGAAACTACTCCATGGCTACAAATGTTTCCTCAAGATCTGTAAGGTAACTCAGCAGACAATTTATTGCCTATGAGATAGAATGACCAGAATCCAACTGAATATTTATAGTAGCATAAATCCAATGGCAGAAATTGTAGTGCCAAATGGCCACCAGCCAATGGGTTTCTGAGAGAATTCCTCAGTTGCAAGACCACCATACAACTAGGAATTCAATTAGAGATTTGTTAACAGCTATTCACAATTCTGAATTACTGTATTTTTTGCACCATAAGACTCACTTTTTTCCCACAAAACAGGGGGGTGGAAAGTCTGTGCATCTTATGGAGCGAAGAAAACAGATTATATTTTCCTGTTTTCTTCTCCTAAAAAATCGGTGCGTCTTATGGAAAGGTGCGTCTTATAGAGCGAAAAATACGGTATATTATTGCATTTATGGCAACATAAATACTCACCTAGATTCTCAGAATTATGCAGTAATTCTGGCACATGCTAAACTCTTTTTATACTAGGTACAAATACTTTTAAGTTTCCATGTTTTCTTTCAGAAACAATATCTCTTTAAAATTTAATTTCATTTCATTATTTATTCCTCATCTTTCTCCTGAAGAGGTCAAAATAGCTCAATTCCTGTAGCCCACTTATCATTTCACAGGTACACTTAACACATTATGTGTTTTTTGGATATCCTTATAAAATATATTTGGCATTAGTACTGTATCTCTTTACAGTTTGGATAGCCCAAACATTTTGGCCACACTGACTTAAAGTCTTCTGTACCCTCTGGCCTAGTTACACTAAACAACTCTCAAAAATGTTTCTGAAAATTGCTTCCCTTTGCAACTCGTGGGAACGTCAGAAAAAGGCCCACAAATGAGAACTTATTGGCTCTAACGGTGTTTGAATGAAAATCCAAGTATGTGAAACAAATGCCCTTTTAAAATAATGTCTTTTATTCAGACCTAAGCTGCACAATATGGAAAAGATGAGAGGCTAGTCCCAAACATTAAGATATTTTAAAGTTCCCTTTCCTTCTCACTCTCACACACCTGAATACTGATAAAGAGGCAATGCACGTGCTTCAGGTTCCAAGTAATTTCCAATACGTAACTGGTAAATGAGCTAGTTCAAAGGCAAAGGTATGGACAATGTTAACATTCATATTAGGAAAAACTCTGCTTATACAACCTCAAATCAAAGGGATGTTCTATCTGGGAAGCAAAAGAAGCCTTCATGTCCTAGAGTGGTATAAGTCACTGCCAGAATTTTTCCTTACCTCTAAGGACTGATTCTGTTGTTTGGTTCCACATCAATAGTAAATAAATGTCTTATCTCACACTTACCTCTACTTCCTTTTCTTCAATAATATTTACAAGCCCCAAGAAAATATTCTGTAGTTTGATCAAAAATGGTTCTGGATAAATCGCCCAGTCTTCCCATGCTCTGAAGCATGTCATTACCCGTTGCTAAAAGTAGTAAACAATGCTAGTCATTTGTATTGAGAAGAACTTTAAGAGTAGAATACAAAGTGAGAGGCTCTACATGCATTTAGCGTTATGCAGTGTTCCTACAGATTGATGGATTTGTTCAACTTCAGTGTAAACAAATAATGGTTTAGACTGTAAGCAGAGTAGGATGCAGACTTGAATCGTAGAAGACTGAATTTTGTTTTCAAAGCAAAATATATGGAAAATGCATTTTTGGTGGCAGCCAATTTTATTTTCAGTTCAGCTTATAGAGTAACTTGTAGAACATTCTTTCAAGGACATACAAAAAATGTTTGGTTCACATTGTAAAATAAACTTACCACTTCACCCTTCCTGAATCAAAACTTTAGCCCAAAATTAAATTATGAAGTATTATCTACATTTTTCCAAATCTTGCCGTGCAGTTTTAAAAATGCATACAGTAAGATGTGTACAAGGAAATATATAAACAGAAATTCATACATTGGAGCAGTATGTGCAAAAATATATTGTATTAGACTGAACTGCTTGCAAAAATTATTTACATCTGACAATTGCTTTGAAGAGCACACAAGAACATACTGCATAGACTTTTAAAACTGCTATCTAAACCAGAAACAGAACAGAATAAACTTAATATTGAAAAGAGGAGAAACTGGAACCAAATTGAGGAATTGAGCTTCCATACTTTCTTTTTCATGGACTATTATGAAAATAATAACACTAAACAATTAAATATAATAATTCCCACATGCAGAATTTTTTTTTATAGCTAGCAATTCAGATAATGTTATAGGGCAAAGGCTCAAGTCTGAAACTATTTAGTATACAACAAGTTTTGGCCTAGTTTTTTTTTAATGAACAGCAATTTGCAGGAGCTCTTCAGGACTTTTTTCAAGACTTGGTCTTGGTTCAGTACTTGGTCTATCAACATTGTAATTATACAACTGCTTAGCTGAAAGTAAGCTCTGATGGACTAAATAGGGTTTATTTCTAAGGAGAAATGTGTCACATTGTGATGTAAATATTTCTGTTTTATTTCTCAAATCAGTATGTTTTACTAGAGAACCATACACATTTACAGCTCAATTATTGGGGGTTCTTACTGGGACGTGGTGGCGCTGCGGGCTAAACCACAGAAGCCTGTGCTGCAGGGTCAGAAGACCAAGCAGTCGTAAGATCGAATCCACGTGATGGAGTGAGCGCCCGTTGCTTGTCCCAGCTTCCGCCAACCTAGCGTTTCGAAAGCATGCAAATGCAAGTAGATAAATAGGGACCACCTCGGTGGGAAGGTAAGAGCGTTCCGTGTCTAAGTCGCACTGGCCATGTGACCATGGAAGATTGTCTTCGGACAAAAACGCTGGCTCTATGGCTTGGAAACGGGGATGAGCACCGCCCCCTAGAGTCGAACACGACTGGACAAAATTGTCAAGGGGAACCTTTACCTTTACCTTTACTGGCATTGACCTATAAAATTATCTACCTGGAGAGCTTTGTTATACAATTCTCTACTAGAGAGCTTTGTCATGACACTGAACATTTGGCAAAAATGTTCATTCTTCTCCATCCCCTTTAATAATGATATTTTATGTTACTGTTTTCATTCTGCTATTTTACATTACATATTTGTTTTATACCTTTTATACATTACATATTTGTTTTATACCTATTCGAGAAAGAAACAGAAATTGCCAATATAAAAATAAAATATTACAATAGCCACACACATACCTTAAAGTTTTCAGACTGTAAATGACCTTGTATGGTTCTGTAGGTAGCATTCAGATCAGAGAATATCTGGCATAACTTTGTCTCAAAACTGAAAAGATAATTTCAATTATGTTAAACCTTGCAGAATAAAGTTTAGTTCAGCAAGTCATACAGCTTCTACTTGCTACAACAAAAACATGCTGTCAAGTTTGAATATCCGCTTACACTATGAACCTAAACACACAGGACCCTATTCAGGAATTCAAAAGGATTAATTTGAAAGTGTTGGTAGGGCTTTTTAGCATCATTCCCCTGCCTCTTTTTGTTTCTCCAGGACAAAGGACTATCTTAAATCAAAAGCTTCTGTTATACCAGGGGTCTCTCCATGAGACTGTGCTTCCTGAAAAATCAGGGTTCCTGTCCATATGGTAAAACTCCATATGTATGACTTCACTTCAGATTCTCCTTCATATGGAGACAACACTAGGGGGAACATGAGGATAGAATTCTTTCCCTATTCATACTTTCATTTTTCAAAAGACACCTGAACAGAGTTCCAATGGAGACTATGTATTTGTTTGTTTATTTTATTGATCGATTGATTTATATACCTCCCATCTGGCAGCCAAGGCCACTCTGGGCCACAATTTAATTTACATCTTAAATTGACTACTTCAGTAAACGTTTAAAAGTCCAGCATAATTACTACAAATGTGAGAGTTTTACTGCTATACTTCCAAACTGCTGGAGAGCTCAGTGGTTTAGACATCTGGCTACAGAACCAGAGGTTGTCAATACAATTCCCAACTGTGCCTCCTTAACAGGGGGTGGACTCAATTATCAATAGGAATCATTCCAGCTCTGCAGTTCTAAGATAATGATGATGAACTTGGCTGAAAAACTGCTTGAATCTTTGTACATGAGTCTGCATATACACAGATGCTACCTTTGACCACATGCTTAAGCTTGGATGAACAAATGCTGTTCCTGGCAATGATACATTTCAGTAACATGAGCGGTTCTTGCAGGATTATGCCAAAGCACCACATAATATAACTAGATAGTATATGCAAATTTTTAAATAAAGAAATGTTATTTTATTTTTAAAAAGAAATTTAAAATCCTGGTACTTACAATTTTCTGTAATATGAAGCATTAGCAACTTTTGCAGAGGAATTGTACAATACATCAGAAACCAAATATAATCTTGCAATCTGTAAAGATAACAGAACTAAAGTTATCGCTATAAATTTGCTTTATAAGGAACAATCTTATGCCTATGCCAAAAAGCTTATATGTTCAGAACACATTACCAACATTCAACACTAAAATATTCCAAGCCTGATTTACATATAAAGATTTCCCATAAACTACTTAAAACATAATTTAATAAACTGTACCCCTTAACCTCCAGGTTGCCAGCTAGCAGCAAGCCGGAAATGATACCTATAATACTATAATACCTGCACCTTCCAAATAATCTCCTCCCTGTTATTGGGAGGTAAAGATAATTCTTTCACACCCCTGCTAAAAGAATCCCCTCTTCACCCATACAGTTAGGCCCGGAAATAATGGGACACTGACACAATTTTTTTTAAAATTTCAAATGTTTACCAAAATAAGTTCAAGTACAGTTAAGTAATGAATATAGACTTAAAGTGCAGGCTATCATCTTTAATTTGAGAGTATTCACATCCAAAGTAGAGGAAAGGTTTAGGCCTTACAGCTCTGTATTATGTAGCCCTCTCTTTTTCAAGGGACTAAAAGTAATTGGACAATTGGCTCAAAAGCTGTTTCATGGACATGTATGGGCTATTCATTATTTCATCATCAATTAAGCAAGTAAAAGGTCTGGAGCTGATTCCAGATGTGGCATTCAAATTTGGAAGCACTTGCTGTGAACCCACAACAAGCATTCAAAGGAGTTCTCAATGCAAGTGAAAAGGGATGAATCCATCAGAGACAGCAGGAACATTAGGAGTGGCCAAATCAACAGTTTTATCAATTTTGATTTTTAAAGAAACACACCAATAAGCAGCTCTGCAACTCAAAAAGGCCTGGACAACCACAGAAGACAACTGTGGTGGATGACGGTAGGATCTTTTTCAAGGTAAAGAAAAACCCCTTCACAACAGTGAAGAATACTCTCCAGAAAGAATGCATCTCAGTATCCAAGTCTAAGGCTTCACAAGAACAAATACAGAGGATTCATCACAAAGTGCAAACCATTCATAAGCCTCAATAATAGAAAAGCCAGGTTAGACTTTGCCAAAAAATACCTTTAAAAGCCAGCCAAGTTCTGGAACAGTATTCTTTGGACAAATTAAACTAAGATCAATTTATACCAGAATGATGGGAAGAAAAAAGTATGGTGAAGCCTTGGAACAGCTCATGAGCCAAAGCATACCACATCATCTGTAAAACAGAGTGGAAGCAGTGTGATGGCATGGGCATATATGGCTTCCAATGGCACATTTATTGATGATATGACAGAAGCAGCCAGATGAATTCTGAAGTGTATGGAGATAAATTGTCTGCTCAGATTCAGCCAAATTGATTGGACAGCACTTCACTTTACAGATGGACAATGACCCAAAGCATACTGCGAAAGCAATCGAGAGGTTTTGTAAGGCAAAGAAGTGGAATATTTTGCAATGGCCAAGTCAATCACCTGATCTGAACCTCATTGAGCATGCATTTCACTTGCTAAAGATAAAACTTGAGGCAGAAAGACCCACAAACAAACAACTGAAGACAGCTGCAATAAAGGCCTGGCAAAGCATCACAAAGGAGAAAAGCCAGCATTTGGTAATATCCATGCGTTCCATACTTTAAGCAGCCATTGTCTGCAAAGGGTTCTCAACAAAGTATTAAAAATGAACATTTTGTTTATGACTGTGTTAATTTGTCCAATTACATCTAAGCCCCTGAAATAAGGGGACTGTATATGAAAATTCCTAAATGTTTCATGCAATATTTTTGTTCAACCCCTTGAATTAAAGATGAAATCTGCACTCCAATTGCATCACAGTTGTTTCATTTCAAATCCATTGCAGTGGCAAACATAGCTAGAATTATGAACACTGTGTCAGTGTCCAAATATTTCTGGATCTATTTCTAAACTGTCAGTACTGCCTACATACCTTGGTGAGTCCTTTTTAAGGAGAAAGGTGGGATAAAAATATTTCAAGTAAAATAAATAATACCCAGTTTCAAAACTGTGTTTCAAGCCTCTGGATTCAAATGTTTCAACTGATCATGGTTTTATTCAATCACTTAATGTTTTGCATTTTATTATACCAACGTTTTCTTTAAATAATGTTTTTATAACTGATGTGGGATGTCATGGGATATGGAGAACAACAATAGGTAAATCAGACAGACAGATCTTCTTTGCCAAGAAGAGAGAACACAGAATGAGATGTGGAGTTTTACAGCTAAGGTGGAACATAATTTTAATTTAATAAAAAAGCATATCTGATATATTCATATTTCACACATACTCACACTTTAATGTAAAGTCATTCATCAGTGTCAATCAATCATGCACTAAGTTATAAAGAAATGTTATACAAGTTACAGAAAGTGCTTCAGAGATCATTCATACCTTTTTAGGAAGTGGAGTTTTCAAGATGGAAAGTGACTCGGCAACGCAGTCTACAATTTCTTCAGCAGCTTCAGCATTATTAAGACAGAAAACCATTGCATCTCCAATATCATTCTTACGCGGTGTTAACCCACGCAGGATTTCCTCTAACTTGTCCCTCTGTCTAAAATTCCAGTTTCAAATTTTTAGACAACTTAGCAAAATCTTTTCTTTATACGTATAAGTAAGCCTTATTATACCTTATACTTTATGATCAAAATAATCTACAACAATCTGCAATCCATTCTTACAATTTACTATATATTGATAGAAAGTGGGGTTTTTTTTCACCCTTACTCAACATGAGGCAAGAAGAGTGATTAGAAATGAGGAAATTTAAGAGATTTTGTGGGGGGGAAAGATGGCCAGCTCTTCATATACTGGAATTCCTGCATAGGTTGCTTCCTAAACCACAGGAGAATATCATAGACGGGTTACTGTACATCTATGGGGAAAGATGACATATTAGGCTCTTCAGAGATGCTTACTCCTCCTTAAGTGCCCCCTTCTTGCTAGGCTCCTCTACAAAAGCTTCGGGCTCTTGTTCTTCTGACATGCCATGGAGATATGGATTTAAAGGAGGTGGTCTCCAAAATGAGCCATTTTTAAACATACGGAAGTCTTCAGTTCTCCATTTGGTCGGGGCATCCCCCTAAGAAAACAAAAAACAAAAGATCAAAATCACTTCTGGGCTGGATCCAAGCAGACTCGTTACAAAAAGAAGCACTCCTTCTGTATGCAGAACAAACAATGATCCAGCAGAGGCCTGCAGCCTGGGAAGGGGGTACAGTAGTCATTTTCTGAAAGGGGAACTATGCTATTTTTAAAAGGTAGGGGATTTGATAGGAGGGGATGCAGGAACCCCAGGAAGTGGAGAAAACAACCATAACAGATTAAAGCTGATGACTGCAAATCAATATGTTTTGCATTTTATAAAATTAGAATCAGCTTTTATTTCTAACCTGAAGAATTGAATACAGCTTCCACCGGTAGTATACATGGGCTGGAGTCTGGTTCTCAAATAAAAACCTAAAAAGCAGAGAATGGAATAAAAAACAGGTTTATTAAAGTAACATAAGAAAAAACAGTACTTTAATTTTCTGAAGCAAAACAAACAGTTTCTGCCATTAATCATTCTGCTGCCATAATCTTCCTATACTTTGTTCTTGCAAACAACTACATGGTGAAAAGTGTCTGCACTCTGTTATTTCACGTAACTACATAATACACACAGAATGCTCCCCTCTGAAAAAAAAAGAGAAGGGGGAAATGCTTACAGATAAAAAACCAGCATGTTATGCATAAGGCTACACTAGAATTTCTTCCCACAACAGCTACGTTTCTGTGTCTGGGGATTTTATTTTGGCAAAGGGGAGTCAATCATATAAGGCCACATGTGAAGTTTGCAGTAATATAGTCCACACATTTAGTTTCTCATTTACTAATTGTGAGAATTATACCTGACTTTGTACAATACGTATCACTCTGTTCCAATAAAGGTTCCCCTTGACATTTAGTCCAGTCGTGTCTGACTCTAGGGCGCGGTGCTCATCCCTGTCTCCAAGCCACAGAGCCAGCGTTTGTCCAAAGACAGTTTCCGTGGTCACGTGGCCAGCACAACTAGACACAGAACGCCTTCCCATCATGGTAGTACCTATTTATCTACTTGCATTTTTACATGTTTTCAAACTGCTAGGTTGGCAGGAGCTGGGACAAGCAATGGAAGCTCACTCCATCGCGTGGATTTGATCTTACGACTACTGGTCTTCTGACCTTGCAGCACAGAGGCTTCTGCGGTTTAACCCGCAGTGCCACCATGTCCCTCTTTTCCAATACCTGTGACTAATTACCGGGACAACAAAAATACTGAAAAGAACTAGGGGTAAAGAAAATTACCTGAACATTGGATTGTTGATTTCTCTATTCATAATCATGGCTTCAAACATAGGTCCTTCACGCACCACAAATTCTATCATTCGATGTATAAGCGCAAGCAAATTCCTACAACAACAACACAGTTAAAGAAAAATTGATTCAGACCTAACACTATACAAACTATACTCCACCTAAGGTATTAATAAATGGAAATTATTATTTTTGCTGTTCTGTTAAAGTGATTTGAATGATATAGATTTTGGTGCAGTATTCTAGTCATCAGTGAGGGGCAGAAATAAAATGAATTAATGCACCTTCAGTGATGAACACTGATGTTGTTTGTATTTCGAATATAAAAGTTCAACTGAAAATGTTTTTGCCTCTTTCAAGGCAAATAAAATGTTATGCAAACTGTACACTAATAACACATAAACCAACAGTATGCGAATTTGTGTTTTTAAACTACAGCTGACAGAATTCCACAAGCAATATGGCCATTGTCCAAGCTCTGAAGAATTTTAAACAATTGCAGTATAAAAACACAAAGCTGCGCATTTCTCATCTAAATTGTATCAATAAAGTGCTCAAAATTATACACTAAAACCAATATTAGTCACAACTAGAAATACTGACATGACTGGGATTTGTTCGTTTCCACTTCACAAATCCTGTTAATGTCAATGGGCATTCTCTAATTCCAGCTACTGCTATATTTAATTTCATATATTCAGCATTTAACAAAAGCTTTTTCTATGTCCTATTTAAAAATATAATGTTGGTTTTAAAAGAGATGCACTGTTGTGTGCATGCACACACAGGGACATGCAAATGCAGACAAAATCCAATAGGGGAGGGAAGAGGGAAACTGGGAACAATTAATGCTACAGTTCTGCTGACAGCTAACTGGAAAAGGTCCTGATCATGATTAGATGACTGGAAGAGAAAGCCATAGGGAAATCCATGCACAAGTGGAATAGAAATAAATTATTTTTATAAATTCAAAATTAGTAAGAATGCTTTTCTTAAATGAGTGTTAAACTGAAGAAAGTTGTCACTGATGACAACATTCCTTTTAATTAGAATTTGTGAGGTATAAGTTCTAATCCTTGTACAGTGTTGTGTTGCTGTTTTTTTTTTAATTGGATATAATGAGATTCAAGGTGTGTACAGTAAGCAATTTACATCATTAGAAATGACTCTAATTTTTAAATCTCTGCTTTTCAGCATATTGGGTTGGAATCTCTATCAGTACACAGAGACAGTCTTCCATCCACAACTACCCCTGCACCTTCACCTACACATCAGGTTATGAAGGGTTAGAGAGCTCTGTTGCTTAGTGTGGGATATATGATGAGATGGTGCTGGGGGAAAGAGAAATCGGACAAAACCACATAGCCCAATTTCTTCTTCCCACAACATCCCATTATATTCCACTCCATACTGTTCAACAGGACCCGCCAACCAGATACAGGGGCTTTTTGTGGAGTGCAGGTGACTGTAGAGGGGAGGATCGAACAAGAACTTTCTGTGTGTGAACTCAATTAACTCAGTTGATACTAAGGATCATGCCACTGACCCCAATCCAGAGAAGCAAAAGTGTAAGAGCCATACACAATGAAGCTGTGTTTTTAAATCTTTGGCTGAATAGTATTATGCAACATTGCACATGCTTTCCAAAATTAAAAGTAAGCCCACGATGCTTATATGAGGTGGTGAAAATATATTAAATCCATGGGTATATGTGTTAACTTACACATGTAGAAATAGCCTCACTGGATTGGGGTACTCAACCATGTACCAAAACAAGCTTCACAAAAATCTAAGAAATTATAAGAAAAATATAGTCCATTTTCCCTTAGCCACCCCACTTTCATCCTATCATAAATAGTATTTGCCATGATTCAAATGAGTATTGATTCTCTGCCCCATACAAAAGGTATATGTGACCACTAAATAAGATATACATCCCAGCACTTGCAAAACGGCAATTATTCGAAGTATTATGCCGAGATTTAATCCATACCAAAATCATCAGTGTGCATAGTATTTTATTTCTGAACTTTAGATTAACAACTCACTAGTAATGCGCATCTGTTTCTAACAATTTTTAAAGGAAAATACCTTCCTACCTGAATGATAGGTAACTATTTACACATTTAAAACATGTAACTACAACCAACAACCTACAAGTATTGCACACTCCGCTCAGTTTTTAGTAACTTCCTGAAATCTTTTAACTCCCACTCAAAACATTCCAAATGACTCATCTGTAATTTTATTCACTTGCAGCATAAAGAATATTTTAGGATACACAATCTGTATCTGAAAATAAGTAAAGAAAAGTGATGGGCCTTTCATATTTTTTAATGAATTCCTGAACTTTTAATGCAGAAGTGTGTGTACAGTGGTGCCTCGCAAGACGATGTTAATTCATTCCGCGAAAATCGCTGTCTTGTGAAAACATCGTCTTGCGGAATGCGGGTCCCCACTGGAATGCACTGAAATCCATTTAATACATTCCAATGGGGGAAAAATCGTCTTGTGAAAATCGCCCATAGAGAAACTGTTTTGCAATGCATGGACCCAGCTGTCAAAATCGCTGTCTTGCGAAAAACCGTCCCTAAAAAACCGTTTTGTGAAGCGTGGACTCAGCTGTCAAAATCGTCTTGCAAAAAACAGTCCTGAAAAAAAAACCATCTTGCGAAGCACGGACCGAAACATCATTTAACAAAAACTGCCCATAGGGAAAACCGTTTTGCAAAGTGCTATAGCGATCTCAAAAACCCATCATCTTGCAAATTAACCGTTTTCCGAAGTAATCGTCTAGCGAGGCACCTTTGTATTCTCTTTTTCTTCCATGTGTATACATGGTGTATGTACTTTCCCTATTTCATTAATTTTAAAGAATGTTATTTGATTAATATACTGTGTATTTTGGTGGAATTGGGGAGTGGTTGTTTTATATTGCTGTTGGCTACTTTGTTGTATATGTCAGGCTGAAGTAGCTGCCTCGCTTGCTGCTTTCTTGTCTTTTTTCTATTGCATTGCTCAGCCCCAGAGGGTCTCTGTTATGCTGGGCGGGTCACATTGAACTCATATTGTTGTTTCCTCAGTTAGGGCAGAATCAAAGATCTTTCCAATACTGGCAGCACTGTTATGCAATGTTTTCCCCAGAGAGGCTCACCTAGCACCTACTTTAATGATCACAGCAAGCCAAACCCCAATCTTCCTATGAATTTTATATTGTGTTGCAGCTTTTATCTTTACTGCTGCTTTTTAATGCATAGTTTATCTTCTCTGGCACAGCTTCAATGTTACACTTTATCTTACTTTTTATTGTTTGTTGTTTTTAATTTGCTAGTTTTAACTTGTGAGCTGTATACAACTCTTTGTTTGCAAAACAGCTGATAAATAATGTAAATAAATGTAAAACATACTTAACTATCACATATGTAAAGCAGTAAGGAATTACTACTTCTTTCAAAAGAAAATTAGACAACCATATGTCAGATATGCTTTGATTTGGATTCAACACTGAGCAGGCAGCTAGATTCAATAGCCTTATAGACTCCTTGCAACACCATTCATACAGTAGGCTATAATTCTAGCTATAGTCAATAAGCCAGTGCACAAGATCATAGAATTTAATGGGATTTACTCCTCAGTAAATTAGTTTAGGATTAGCCTGCAACTCTGGACCATTCCTGGAGTGCTTAAGCACAGTAATTCTGTGTAATGGCACCAGAACTGCTGTTCGAAAACCTCAGCAAAATAGCATAAGTTCAAGTTTATTGTATTCACTAAAAGCTGTCACAATTGTTTAAAATACAAATACAGTGGTGCCTCGCATGGCGATTGCTTGGTATAACGATGAAATCACTTTGCGATGAAGATTTTGCGATCGCTTTTGCAATCGCTTTCCGATGTTCCCTATGGGGGAATTTCGCTTTGCGATGATTGGTTCCCTGCTTGGGGAACCGATCATCGCAAAGCAATGCTTTTTAAACAGCTGATCGGCGCAGCAAGCAAGGCTTTTCAAATAGCTGATCGGTGCCGCACTACCCCCCCAGAGCTCCTGCATAAACAGGGGACAGCGGGAGGGGGAGGGGGGCACTCCGGATTGGCCCCTCGGGAGGAGGGAGGGAATGAGGGGTGAAGGGCCTGGCCCCAACCCCCGCGCGCACCCCTGGGGCTCCGAGCCAGAGAGCAGTCGTGGCGAGAGGTGCCCGCTGGGGACTGGGATCAGGGCGGCAGCAGCTGGAGGGGGACGCGCCAGAGACCCCCTCCTCGCCCCATCTGCACCCCGCCAAGGAGACCGGGCATCCGGGGTTGGCTGGCTGGCAG